CAGAGCATCTGAGGCTTGCTGCAGGGCCCCGCCTCAGCTGACTCCATCTGCTTGCTCTCTGCCATTGGCCCTGGGACAAGCTTAGTGCAGCCTAATGAAGGCCTGGCAGCAGCCGTGGGGCTTCAGGGAGAGGGCCTCCCCTCATCTCTCAATGTCCCAGCTCAGCTGGCCTCAGGGCCTACTTGAGCTGAAAGCCCATGTGTCCTCCAAGGGCTGGTGGGAAAGGAGATTTGTCTTGGCTGTCAGCAGATTCTGTGCGGGAGACTCGGGGACCCCACAGCCCAGGCGAGGTCACTTTCTACAGCACCGTTTAGGATCCCGACCCTCTGTCTCTATACACCCTTCTCTATCCTCCTACCCCTGTCCACCCTTTTAAAGACAGGAGCTCACTATAGAGCTAGCTCCTGGGGTGGAGGGATGGAGGAGTTTGTTGTTTGGGGGCTGGTGTAGAACCCAGTAAGCCTTGGAGTCTTTTGAGTGATAAAGGGGCTTTAGGTTTGTTGCTGGGGATAGAAGCCAGGGCCTTGCACAGGCCAGGCAAGCACTTTATATCAGGGCAGTCTTTACTTACGTTTACATTTTTGTTTGTTTGTTATTGGAGGCAGGGTCTTCCTCTGTAGCCCAGGCTGCACTGGAAGTCCCCATTTAGCACAGGCTGAACCCAAACTCCAGTCAATCCTCCTGCCTCCACCTCCAGAGTGCTGGATTAGAAGTATGTGCTGCTGAACCCTGGTTTTGTCGCTGATAGGGACTGAACCCAGGGCTTCATGGAAGAGAAAGTAACCCCAGCCCCTGTACTGTGTGTTAATTTTGTATTAATTTATCTATTTGTTCATTTTACATCCCAATTGAAACCCCACTCCCTCCTTTCCTCCCAGTCCCATTCTCCCCCCCCCCCCCCTCTCCCCATGGTCCCCATCCTCTGTACCAAGTCACCCAGGCACTTCAAGTCGAATCAGGACTAAGTTCCTCCTTTTTCACTGAGGCAAGGCAAGGCAGCCCTGCTAGGCATATAGGGTCCAGAGGGAGACAAGAGAGTCAGAACAGACACAGCCCCCACTCCAATTGTTACCGTGGACTTTAACGATGGATCTATGCAATCCAGACCAGCCCTGGTCTTCTGGTTCTCTTCCCTCCTCCTTTGGGGACCTAGGATTAGAGGGATGTATCAGGAAGCTGTATCCAGGGGTGTCTTTTGACAGTCCCTAAGCACTTTTCTGTCCTCCCGAGTTCATGCTCATGAGCTGTCCTAGGGCTAGGGTGGCCTTGGGTGGTTTCAGAAGAGGTGCTGGTCATCAGAAAAGCCAAAAGATTAGCAGGTTGGAACTTTAACCCCGCCCACTGTTCTTTTACCCTGAGGAGATGGGGGTATCAGCAAACCCTTGAGCTCTTGAGCAAAGAGCTCCTTTTAGAGCTTCCAGGTTGACGAACTCCACAGAGACAGATGGCCCACACTGCGGACCCCATCAGACCCTACCCTACGTCCCTTTTTTCCTCTGGCCATTCATTGGTGTCCTTTATAATAGACCTGTAAATGTAAGTCTAGTACCTGCTGGCATTCTGCAAGCCACTCTAGCTAATTATGGGACACAAGGAGGGGGTCGTGGGAGCCCTGTGGACAGTCTGTCCATTGGCAGGACAAACGGTAGCCGGAGGCTTGGGGCTGGCCTCTTGAAGGGGTGCCAGCTTGTGAGACTGAGCCCTTAGCCTGTGGGCTAAGTCGCAGGTAGTTCAAACCATAACTGAATTGAATCATCAGACATCCAGCTGGTTGGAAGAATTGGTTAGTGACAGAAAGTGTCCCAGAAGCTATAATTAGTGAGCATGTTCCGCCCTCCAGTGAGCGAGGAGGGGGAGTTATCAGGCTTAGCATTCATTCAGCCAGGTCACGAAAAAAAATGTTCTCAGGCCTCCCGTGTCTCACCCACAGAGGGGGAAACAACAAAAGCTTCCCAGCCTCGGTTTAGAGGGGAGGGGACTGCCCAGTACCCCCTTCCCATCGGATCTGCCCAACTCCCTCCAGGTCTGACAGTGATCCCACCTTTACACTCAGGAAATGGGACTGTGCTCTGAGTCATGGCCGTGCTTCCATTGTGAGTCCTGCTTCATCTTTCCGCACAGCCTTCCCTACTCCTCTGTTAGTCATCCCTCATGATAATGATTGCGAGCCCCACACCCGCCTCGCATTATCCCCGGTTCTGAACCTCTTGCCAGAGATGACTGCCTCTGCTTGTCCAGTTGTGTTGCTCCTGAGAACCTCAGGCTACAGGACAAAAAGGGACCCACTGGGACCCAGGGCTGGCACACAGCATTTGCTGGTTGGTTTTATGCCAACTTGACACAGGCTAGAGCCATCTGAGAGGAGGGAACCCCAACTGAGAAAATGCCTCCTCTGTGAGGTGAGATTGGGCTCTAGGCAGCCTGTGGCCCTCTGGCCACTAACTTTCTTAATTAGCGATTGATGTGGAAAGGCCCAGCCCATTTCAAGTGAGGTCACCCCTGGTGGTCCTGGGTTCTATAAAAAAGCCAAGCCTGAGCTGGGCGCCGTGGTGCGTGCCTGTAATCCCAGCGCTCAGGGAGGCAGAGTCAAGCAGATCTCTGTGAATTTGAGGCCAGCCTGGTCTACAAAGCAAGTCTAGAACAGCCAAGGCTACACAGAGAAACCATGACAAGAAAAGAAAAGAAAAGAAAAGAAAAGAAAAGAAAAGAAAAGAAAAGAAAAAAGAAAAGAAAAGAAAAGAAAAGAAAAGAAAAGAAAAGAAAAGAAAAGGAGAGAAAAGAAAGTCGGCTGAGCAAGTCATAGGGAACAAGCCAGTAAGCAGCACTCCTCCATGGCCTCTGCATCAACTCCTGCCTCTAGTTTCCTGCCCTGTTTGAGTTTCTGTCCTGACTTCCTTCAGTGATAGAGTATGAATGCAGAAGCATAAACTAAATAATCCTTTTCTTCCCCAACTTGCTTTTGGTCATGATGTTTTTTTTTCTTGAAACAGTAATCCAAATTAAGACACAGGTGTACCACTTCAGTCCGGTCACATGACTCCTGCCTTGATCCAAGGCCTTGGGGAGGTCAAGGTTAATCACCAAGGAAGTGTCCTCCTAGTGCTCACAGTCTACTTCAGGGAAAAAAAGCAAAGAAGGTTCTAGAATGAGCTATCATGGAGGCATTGAAGGCTGGAGTAAGTCAAAGAAGGGACCTCCCTAGGTGACCACAGGTCAAGGAGTGAGGCCTCAGCTGAAATGCTGCAGATGAACCGGAGGCCACTGCCCTACAGACGGGGACCTCGGAATAGAACAAGCTTGGGCCTGAAAGACGGCTTTGGGTAAAGACACTCGCCCATGAGTTTGAAGATCTGTGTTTGATCCCTGGGACCCAGGCAGAGGACGCTAACTCCCATACATTGTTCTCTGAGAGCCACAAGGGTTCTCTAGCAAGCATGCACCCAAACACAGGTGCACAGCATAAATAAATAAAAAAGAACAAACCTAAAAGCAGAGAGGGTGGGGTGGGGGGAATAGTGGCCCAGGATTCTGTAGGACGGGATGTAGACTAAATGACCTGGGACAGAGGTTACTTCAGACTTTGAGTGAGGTGACCAGGCTATGGCCTAGGGACATTTGAGAGCCTGGCATGGCTGGTCAGAGCCAAGCAGAACCCTGGAGAGTGATAGTGTGTGTCCAGTTCTTGAGTCAGTGAGGCCTGGCTAAATGTCCGAAAGTGCCAGCGTGGAGGAGGGAGCTGACGTGGGCTCACTGCAAAGGCTGCAGGCGATCCCCTCGGGGAGCCAGTTCACCGCGACTTCTGTGGGAAACAGAACTCTTTCGAGACTTTGAAAAAAGCTGTGAGCCAGTCCCCCACATAAAGTTACATTCTGTGTATCATTTTAGGGACACTCCCAGACTCCAGGAAACCTAGCTAGTCATGGAAACTGGCTGGACACAGCTGCCTCCCTAACGATGGCTGAGGAAAGTCCTCAGTGTTATCAGTGTGTGTGTGTGTGTGTGTGTGTGTGTGTGTGTGTGTGTGTGTGTGTTCTGAGCATGCGCGATGACTGACTCTGGGAATAACCTGCGAGGCCCTTTGTTCTGTCGTTGTTGACAGCACTATGGATCAAATCCAGGGCTTTATGTATACTTGTCTTGCGGGTTTTAAAACACGTTTATCTGAGCATAGTGGCTTATGTATATAACAGGATTTGGGAGACTGAGGCAGGAGGATCTCCGAGAAGCCAGCCTTGGGCCTGTCTGGTCCCCGAGCTATGAAGATTCATGGAACTGGCGAGCGCTCCAAGCTCACCTCTAGCTTCTAGAAACCCAGGCTACACCAGAAGAAGGAAAAGAAGAAAATGCAGCGGGGAAAGAAACAAGGAGGTCTGACAAGCTGGGCTGAGAACGCAAATGAAAACAGAGGGCAAAGTTGGAACTCCAGGGCTCTCCAGGCAGGGTGGCTCCAGCTCCCTCAGCAGGCCAGGCTAAGGGCTAACGCCCGCCGGGTTCACCAGACTGCTTGCAACGGACTTTTTCCTACTTTGCTCTGACGCCCCCGGGAGAAAGGTCCAGAGTGGTAACGGGGTCTGCCCAAGGTGACACAGCTAGCGAACAGCAGCCTGGACGCGACCCAGAGCTGCTAGCGCGCAGGACCCGCACTCTTCCACTTGGCTCCACGCCCCTCCCCTCCCCCGCCCTCTCGCTCTTCCGCCCCTCCCTCGTCTCCCTCCCGGGTGGCGGCCGAGCCACGTGGTGGGCCGGGAAGCAGCGGCTGCCGAGAGCCCCGGCGGCTGCCCCAGCTGGGCAGTGCTGCACCGCGCCGCGCTCGGTGCCTGCGGGGGGACGCTGCGCGCTGGCCGGCGCCGCGGGCGGGAGGAGTGCCGACGGCCGGCCGCAGACAAAGGAGGCGCGGCGGAGCCCGCGCGGACCGGGAGCACCATGCACTCGGGGCGCGTGCGGCCGGCCGCGGCTCCGGGGACCCGGCCCTAGTCGCCGGCCCCGCCGCCCCGGGGCGCCACCGGAACGACGCGGCCCCGCGCGGCGCGAGGAGGAGCCATGGGCAAGTGCAGCGGGCGCTGCACGCTGGTCGCCTTCTGCTGCCTGCAGCTGGTGAGCCGCGCGGGGCGGGGTGGGGCAGCGGCGGGGCGTGGGCGCCACCCAGGGTGCGGGGTGGCCGGGCGGAGCCTTCCCCGCGCGGGCCGGCTCGTCCCTTTGTGTGCGCTCCTCGCCCCAGCCCCGCGCTCGCGCGCACGGTCCAGCGCGCCCGGGCTGCACGCGTCCGTTTGCGCTGTGTGCGCGTGGGCTCCCGCTGGGGGCTGCGGCCCGGGACTGTGGCTCCCTTGAGGCTGGGGGTGTGTCCGAGGCTGGTCTGTGCTGTCGGCGAGGTCCCTGGCCGCACGTTCCCCTCTGGATCGCTGGTTTCGTGGGTGCCCCCCATCCCTCTGGGCTCCGCCCCTGTGAGAGTCTCTCGCAAAGTCTCTTTCTGCTCCTGTGTGTGTCTCTGGAATGTTTTTAGATCTCTGGCCATTTCTGCTTCCTGTTTGTGTGGTGGGACCTGAGACTCTAGAGAACCCTCAGCCGTCCTTTGTGCTGCTTTTCTGCCTCCCGGCACCCTCCTGACTGGGTGGCCTGGGATGGAGAGCTACCTCCTTGAGACGGGTCACCAGAAATTGATGTATCTTGAGCCAGCCTGACCTGGCAGGCACAGGACCTACTCTGTGGCTTTGGTCTGGCTACCGGGTCCCCCAGCGTCCCAGGAGCCATATGTTCTATCAGCAGTGGGGTGGGGTCAGTCAGGTAAAGAGTTCCTTGGTCACATTGGATGGGGACACTTGGGTGTCCTGGGAAGAATTACAGCATTGGGGGGGGGGGCTCTGTGCTGGCCCTAGTTTGGGGGAAATGAGGTCTTTGACTAAGAGTAGGGGGCAGCAGAGTGAATCAGGAGGCTAAGAGTGACTGAGGTCCTGGCCTGTGGATTGAGAGGGAGATGGAGAAGAGGCTTTCCTGGTTTTCCTGCCTTCCTTGGAGCTTTGCCTCTGCTCTAGGCAGTGTTGGTTAGGAACTGCAGACAGTGTCAGGTCAGAGGAGGGCGGGGGTGGGGTAGGGGTGGGGTGCACCTAGGCCTCACTCCTGTGGGTCCCGTTATCCGGGTCTGCTTTCTGGCCTACCGTGCCACCTGCTCCTCCACGCAGGTGCAGAGGCTTTGAGCGGGGTGTGCAGGTGGCCTCTGTCCCTCTCACCTTTCCTTTTGAGCAACCAGCCCCAAGCCTGCTATTCACTGCAGTGTCCTCTTTGGCCACCTGATTTGTCCGGTGACCATTCTCAGGGGTGGCAGAGGGACTTAGCCGCCACCAGGTAGGACAAAAACCCCAGAAGCGCAGAAACAGCCCATTTTGTTCCTGCTAAATCCCCAGCAGCTGGACAGTGCTTGACACCTCATTAATATCTGTAAACTAAATGAAGAAGCAGTTATTTGGCACATCTGGCTTCGTAGTAGAAACAGTCTCCTTTATCTATTTTGAGGAACATAAAATGCCCAGAAATCTTCAAAAACTTTTCAGAGGATTCGTTTGCTTTGATTTTTTTTTTTTAATTTATCATACTTTAAATTGTGTGTGTGCGCACACGCATATGTGAATGCAGGCGTCCAAGGTGTCTGAACAAGCCATCAGGGTCCCTGGAGCTGGGGTTACAGGTGGTAGGTGGGTGCTAGGAATCAGACTCAGGTCTTCTGCAAGAGCAGCGCGCTCTTGACTGCTAGCCTCCAGGATCCCTTCTGGTTTTGTGGCTGTCTGTTGTTTGTTTGAGCATGTTCTAACTCTTAAATCCAGGCCGGTCTTGAACTCACAGCAGTCTTCCTGCCTCAGCCCGATGAGTGCTGAGGTGGGGGGGATTACAGGGTGGCTAGCTTAAATTTTAAACTCCAAGTTTTACTTCTGTTCATTTTGGTTTTGGTTTTGTTTTCAGGGCAGGGTCTCAGTACGTAGCCCTGGCTGTTCTGAAACTCACCACGTAGAGAAGGCCGGCTTTGAACTCAGAGAGATCTGCCCGCCTCTGCCTCCCGGGTTCTGGGATGAAAGATGTGCACCTCTACACCCAGTTTAAAGTACACTTTTTAAACTTGAGAAATGGTATTCGTATATAATGAACAAATAGGTGCTCGCAGAGTGGGAAACAGGGCAAGTGTTCCTCCCTGTGTGCCTGGTGCCTTCCCCATGGGCGGACCGGTAAGTGTTCTGTCCTATGTACAAGTGCTGTTGCTAGCGCACTGGGTACCAGCTACTCTTGTGAGTGCTCCTCCATGAGTTAACTCAGTTACCTTCATTGGGATCCAGGAGCTGAGATTCGGGCATGGGGACCAGCCTCCTCTGTCGCCTTAGCCTCAGCATAAATCGCTCTGGCCTTGGTACATTGGGGCCGGTAGGGACACCTGTCTTGGGAGGGGAAGTGGTAGCTGGGTCCTCCCAGCCTCTGCGCTCCAGCCAGGCAATGCCCACTCTTCCACCAGCACAGAGCTAGCTTAGACAGGACCTGGGTGGGATTCCACTTCCCCCACGCCCTGCCTGTGTGGCTTGGCTGGCTTGTGCCGGCTACAAGAGACAATTTAGGAAACGCTCAAGGGGTGGGGGGTCTTGAAAATTGATCTCTTGGCTCTCTTGCTCTGTCTGAGCTGATTGCAGAGAGGGTCCCTCCAGCTGTCACTCACTAACCCCCTAGAGCCCCTGCAGCCTGGCAGCTACCAGAATGGTGAATGTGCCAGCCTGAGGGGAGAAGGATGCTCAGCTTTCTTATCCAAAGGACTGAGGTATTAAAGAGGCAGTTAGATATTTTTCAGCTGAAAAAAAAAAAAAAAGACGTAAGAAGAGAAAGGATCATTTTCTTTTTCCGGTGGAGTTTAGGCACTGTAACGAAGCAAGCTGGTTACAAGCCCTTCAGTAGACATTGGGGTAGACTTGTTTTGGGCAAAGGACAGAAAAAGGAGTTGGAGCATTAGAGGAAGCAGATTGGGACTGTGTCACTGAGGTGGACAAGTGTAGGGTGATAATTGAGGCTCTGGAGTTTTAACAGAGCCATCTGGGTTCCAGATCCCTCTGTCGCTTAGTTCTTCCTGGCTTATGATCTTAGAGAAGTGTTTTGCCTCGCTCTTTCTCGTTCTTGTTTTTAGTTTTAATTTATTTAGTGTGTGTGTGCACAAGTGTGCACAATCATATAAAATATGAAGATGCCTCTTCTGCCTTTTGTACCTTAGGCCGTCTCTCGTTGGCCCCAGATTTTACTAATTTGCTAGTGTGGCAGGGCCAGTAGGTCCAAGAGATCCTCCTGTCCCTGCCTCACTTATGCAGTTGCACCCAGATTTTTTTTTTTTTTTAAATGTGATTGCCAAGGGTTAAAATCAGGTCCTAGCCGTGAGTGGTAGCTCATGCCTTAAATCCCAGCACTCAAGGAGGCAGCCTGGTCTACAAAGGACAGTCGGGGCTGTTACACAGAGAAACCTTTTCTCAAAAAAAAAAAAATCAGGTCCTATGCTTGTGTGGCAAGCACTGTATCAGCTGAGCTGTCTCCTGGCCTGCAAGTTCCTGATTCTTAAGGTTATTATGGGGACTCCCACCCTGGGGTTATAACTCAAGCTTATGCTGGTGTCACATGCCTTCTTCTGCAGGAAGTGGCGGGAACTAGGACCGTGAGCTGAGGGGCAGGAGGACTGGATTCTAACCCCGCTCTGCCCTTGACATCCTGCATGTCTCTGCATCTCTGCTCCACTGTGTCTCCTGTTTTGTTTAGTGTTTGTTTTCCCTCCTTCTATGAAGTGTGAAGAACTTGAGGCCTGGCCCCCTGGGCTCCCTGGCTCCCAGCTCTGCCTGACTGGAATCTGAGGACATCTGGGCAAGTGTGGAAAAGGTTCTGTAGTTCCCTTCTGTCCTCAGAACCTCTCAGGTCCTTTGGTTTCCTGGGTTCTAATTACTGTAGCATGTTGACGTTATTAATTCGGTTCGCTCCCTGCTTTTCACTCATTTCTTCTCTCTACTCACCTCCTTCCTTCCCAAGCTCTCGTGGCCACTCAGTTCTTCCAGTAAGGGGATGAGCCAGGGACATTTGCCCCAGGGACTCGTCATCAGTTTCTTCCTCATCATCATTATCATTCCCGTTTCAGGAGGCCTGGCTGAGCACTTTGTGTGCATTACCTCATTTAACCAAATGAGCTTACATATGTAAAGTGCTTGGCAGAGTGCCTGGTACATGTTAAACGATCAATAAACGCTAGCCATTTTCCTGCCTCTACCCTTCGAATTATCTTAATTCCACACTGTGGGATGGATGGTTTTATTATCCCCCTTTTCAGATGAGGAAATGGAGGTGCCCAGGGGTGAGGAGGAGGAGGAGGTTTGCCCAAGGTCACCAAGCTTGTTGGTGACAGAACCTGAATGCCAGCCCTCTCTGCCTCTCGGGTAAAGCTCATGACGTCTACAGTTCCAGTTTTCAGTTTTCTCATCTCAAATGAGGCATTAGCGGTCTCGTGCTTCATGCCCCCACTACAAGCTGGCAACAGTTTTCTACTGCTGTGCTTCTTGTCCCAACTCTGTGTGAACTTGGATGAATGGGCCCCTCCCCTCCTCACAGAGTGGTAGAAAGGCTTTTTCTTGGCCGGGTGCCAGACACACAGTAGGTACTCAGAAGAACATTGGCATCGTCCTTCCCCCACCTCCTTCTGGAAAACTCTTTTCTGGAAGGTGGTGGGTGGGTGAGGGGGAAATGACTCGGCTTCCAGCTGAGCCGAGAGTAATGGCGTGAAACGTGGTCAAGCTGATAGATGTTGCTATTAGCGATGGTGAGGATGGAGGGAGGTGGCTCTAGGGGCTTGGGCTTCACAGCAGCCTCAGCTGTAAGCTCATGACGCCCAAGGATCTGACTCTTCGCCTGGGGCTTGAGGTCCTTGGGCTGGCTTCAGAGGTGGGACTGTGAAATTGTCCAGGTCACTTCTGTTCTTCAGCCCTTTGTGGAGAGAATGAAGCTGGGAGATCCACTTCCTTGAGCAGATGGACAGACTGAGGCCAGTGGGCTCCGGGAGCCAGGTGGGGAGAGTTCATTGGCAGTGGATGCGGGGGAGGAGG